GAGCAACCAAGTCCCATCACTAAAGCATGTCCCTCAGTGCCACATCCATGCCTCAAATACCTCCAGTTGCCAAGACTCCCCCACTTCCCTGGGCAGCTGCCCCAATGCTTGATCACCATCTTGTGAACAAAATATTCCTGGCAACAATCTGAACCTCCCCTGGTCACCTTGAGACTATTTTCTCTCATCCTACCACTTATGATCTTTTCTCTAGGCTTCTGGATTTTCAGCCAATGCACTGATGAGGCTGCCAGACAGCCAGGAACTTAAAGGACACCTTCCTTTCCACTTCAATGGAGGGATGGACGGCCTTTTATCCACTCTCCCATCAATGTACCTGAGCCTGCCCCCACACAATAAGAGGCACGATCCAAGAGCATTCCAGCCCAAAGACATTTATTCACATTAGCAAGGGCAGGAGAAGTTCCCCAGCCCACAGAAAGCTTTCAGCCAGTGCAGTGTTAACAGAAGATGGCTTAGCTTGCCAGCAGGTGCAAATGAAATCCTGTCCCATGTCTACCAAGCAAGCTGATCAGGTATTAGGGGAGCCCAGAGCAGAGATTAGACACAGCTGTGTGATTCACAGCTATAACCAAGGAGCTTCAAACCACTGCTTAAGATGTATGCATTTCTGTTAGACCATGATATGACACAGAAGACAGATGTGGTGGTTTATTTATTTTAAATGATTTGTACACAAGCTGACGTACAGCTGCATTTCTTCTCAGCATAGCTTATTGATGGCAGTTGCAGCTCCCTTCCCCAAAATAACGCCCTCCCAGCATGCAGCTTTGCTCAGTACTTGTGAAGCTGATAGCTTATTAAAATTGATGAGGCTCTTTATGAGCACACCGGTTTGTTCAGTTCAGATAACAAAAGGACATTCACTGAGAAGTCACAAATGTATTCTTTCAGTGCTGGGTCTCAGTACAGCACAAGACTACACTGAAATAAAACACATTTCACACCAGCTAAATAACTACAAAAGTAATTTTTAAGAATGGTGTTGCTCTAAAGAAAAAAAAAATCTCAATGCTAAAATCAGCACTAAATTTTAACCTATATAGGCACAATGAGATACACGAAAGAAAATCAGGCTAGTAAGTGAGACTAAACCCTACAGCCATGCTCGACTCTTGGTAGACAGTCCTGCAGTGTTGACTATCGCAGAGTAAAAACCTCATCTGTGGAATAACTCTATAAAAAAAAAAATAATAATAATAATTAAAAAAAGAGCATCTTTTCAAAGAAAAATGAACTTATTTCAGACTGTTTTTACTGCTTGCTGGCTAAAAAATTAACATGCTAACTCATTGATTAGTTCATCCACAGAGACCCTAAAGTGTCTCAGCTAAGAAGTACATGAAGAAACAGCATTACTGAGTTAAATTCTTCTTCTTTTTCTGCAGGAACATCTGTCAACACTTACATCTCCAGAACATCAGGATGTGCTGATGCATAAAATCACACAGCAGGTGTATCGGCTGCCACAGGAGCATTCAGCAATAACCAGAGACTTCAGTACAACCTAAGTGCTGTTGTTAATAGCACAGTAATATCAAAACATACCTGAAGCATTGACAGTTCAGATTCTAACAAATTACACATCAGTCAAATCAAGTAGAAGAATCACATTTCCAAGGTCAGTTCATATTTCTTCTAGTCTCCCAGCAAATGTTTTAAATGAGTTGACTCTGATATTCCAAGATAGAATGTGTAAAATTCCCTGTGAAACTACCGGATGCATTCTCTACTTCTGCTTTATCAATCCAAGGGATATCATACATCTCCACCTAGTTTAAAATGGAAAAAGAAACACGTATGCCAAGTTATGAGACTTGGAAAAAAAAAAGAACCAACAAAAAACATTCCAGTTGCAATGCTGTTCAGCAGCTGCTAATCACTTCTGTTGCCTTTAAAGATATTTCACTTTTCTTCCAACTTGCACTGCATTATTTTGCAACATCCCACCCAGACTCCAAGAACACTTAGCCCTGGGACGTGTTAACATACCCAGGGAGCACCACAGAGCCCACAAGCTCAGGTGGCATTCCTGCTTCAAGGACAGAACTCACAGAAACAGAAACTGCCTCACAGATACTACGGATTGTTGATTAAAGAACAGCTTCATAGAGAGGGTAAAACAAATAAATAAACAAACCATAGATTATTGTTTATTTAAAAATAAAACTGAAATCCCCCTTAAGCATCTAGAGAGCTTTAAGCTTCACTCTTCACACACCAGGTGTTAATTAAAATGTTTGTTATAATAAACACTAAGCTTCCAGCCTCCAAAGCCATAAGAATACCTACTGGACTACTTTATTTGATGGGAGATTAGCTGCAGAAGGAGAACAGGTCTAAATACCAGTCTCTCAGGAACTTAGAAAGATTCATGTGTTCACTTACTGTTTCTTAGACTCCAAGGAAGCATGCTATCCTGATCTAATAATGAAAACCGTATTCAATAGATCTTAATGCCATAAAGGTCCATTATGATAATCCAGTGCAATCTTCTGCATAGTACACTGCCAAGGATTTCATACAGAGATTGCAATGCTTGACTGGAGTTGGAACTTAACCTCTAAGAGCTTTTTATCTCTAGCATCAAACTCAGTACTATAAGACAAAACCCAACAAACCTGTGCCAAGTTTGGAATTTACAAGTACTCCATTAAAATGTTCTTACTGTAAAAAGAAACCAAGACAACAGTAAAGCAGTGAAGACTGTTCCTTACTCTGGAAGAAATCCAGTTATTTTACCACTAGATCTACCTCAGATGTAAATTAAGGACAAAATCATTTGAGAGTGCTGTGGAGAGCGATGTGAATACTAGTAATTTACAATTCCTATGGGGAGAAAGAATAAGCAAGGTATTTCAAGCTTTTTGCATCCACAGTGTGACCTTACAATTGCAAGGAAAGCCATTTAGAAGATTCACTGACTTGTGTCAGGTGAAATACTTGTGACAGACTGTCACAGGAAATCACAGTGTACCTTCATATGCACTTCATTCAATTTTCAGACTTAAAAAAAAAAAATGCATTCAATTATTGACAGAATTGATCTGAAAGACAAGAGCAACAAAGAGAGAAGCCAACCCCCCCACGGCCAATGACTGCTTGGTATTGCACTACACAAGTGTTATCGTAACTGACCATTTGCTGTTTTGAATATTTATAAGCATTCCCTGCACAGTCACTCCAACTTTCATTGAGCACCAGCTTCCAAGCATTCACTGCCCTTTTTCCAAGAAAGATCTCTCTTAAGAAGGAGGGAAAAAAAATATAAGAAAAAAATCTCTGCAAAGGACTGACTTCCTTTTACACACAGAAATAGACAGAAGCACTGAACTCAGAACATCTCGAGTGCACAAATAGAATCACAATATTTTATTCTACCTTACAATGAACAAGAGAGGGAACTGAGTCCTATTTTTGTACCTGGAGACAAATACTCCCACAGGATTATGATAAACATTTTGGCAGAAGACAAGACATCCCCATACCTTTATAGACTTGTAGCAAAGAATTCGTAGTTCAAAAACTAGATGTCTGCCTGTCTGATATGGTTACATATTGTACCAGCACCAGGAGCACAGCCCAGGCTCCTGGAATTTATTTCACATGCATTTAGTAGTATAATCACTGGACAGAGTGCAGATAGAGCACATGAGAGGGTTTGTGAGCAGCCATCCTCCTACAAAGCAAGAATGAAGCAGGCTGACCTGATGTGGAGATGCTGCAGCACTGCGCCTCTGCACTATGGATGTGAATCACTGTTACTGTTTGGACACCAAGTAGCAGTGGGCTGTCAATGCACCCACAGAGCAGAAGTCAAGGGAGCCAACCTTTCCCTTTTAAAGTATTTCATTAGCAACATTCACCCGATGTATCTCTGTTCCTCAGAAAATCTGCTCCTTGTCTCTTGCCGTGAGATTACCTTTTGCAGAGGATCTAGACACTTGGTTTTATACACAGTTAAAACAGGAAGGTATTCTGTGTGGAACGCCTGATTGTAACAATGAGGCCAGCAAAGGCCATGAAACTGTGTGTGGATAGACTACTTGTCCAAATTAAATGTTTCTCTAAATTTTCCACAAAAAAAAAATATGGTGCTCCTCAATGTGACGATGCAAAACAAACAGTACAGGTTCTCAACAGAACTGTCAAGACTTAAGCCTTTCAAATTGCTCCTCATTGTTTTAAGTGGAGGTCAACATTCCTCTGTCTGGTTATTTCCTCAACTGTTCAAAAAAAAAACCAAAAAACAAAAAACCACCAACTGCTTTCTGAACAAGTTACAGACGTACCTTAATGCTATGTTATTCTCATTACCAAGGCACCATCCCACATACTCATTTTGGCAAGCCAAGCTCAAGCTCGTTTATGACATGAGTGCAATTATAACACAGACTTCTGGGGAGCAAGAAGCAAGTCTAAGTGAGAAGCAGTTAGACATTTCTGTTCAGAAACTAAATTTCACTACCGCAAAGGAAAAAAAGACCTCAATGTTGTTTTCCCTCTCCAGGCTGTATGTGGGAACAGCATCTTTAAGACGAAACTGCGAAATTGTCAGTGTGACTTATTACACATTGGCAGGAGACCAAAGTAAACTTTGTTCAAAACACTGACTGTATTTTTCAGAAGAGCATCTCGCAACGCACATTTCACCCTCTGAGCGCCAAGAAGCAACGCTCACATGCCAGTTTGAGCAGGAACACTCCCAGCAGCAGCTGGTAGAAAGTCAGAAGACATCTGTTAAGTCAGCAGGGCTTGGCTTCCCACCACCTCCGCACCTCATATAAACTGGTATGCCCTAAGAAAGCGGTGTCATTCCAGTCTGGTAGACATCCACTTTGTGTGTGCACAGGACGCTATCTGGGCACAATTCTGATGAAAAGCAAAACAAACAAACAAAAAACAACCTAAAAAAACCCAAGCCCATGGAAAGCATCTATTTTAACGTGACATTTGCTGAGATGAAGGCTGGCCCTTACCGTTAGCGTTCTTCCCACAGATGAGGTGCTCGTACGGCTGCAGCACTCCCCAGAGCTCAGCATCGTTGTTGATCACCATCTCCAGGATTTCAGCCGAGATCTCCCCTCCACCGCCGTCCGGGCTCTGACTCGCCAGAACCCTGCCCTTGATCTCTTCTACCAGGTTCTCCATGCAAGCGGTCAAGGAGATGGCCGCGTATTCGTGGATCCTGACCGAGATCCTGGTGTCCACCATCCACCTGAAGAACCTCCCCACCGAGAAGGTCAGCCCGCACCTGGCCGATTTGCCCTTCCTCAGCCCGTCCCCGGCGCTCATGCTGTAGAGGGAGAGCGCCCTGACGGCGGCCAGCACGCAGCTCTCGGCCAGCGCCCAGCTCTGGATGAGCTTGACGGCGCTCTGCACCTCGAAGCGGGTGCACTTGGAGTGCATGACGCTCAGGCGCTGGGCCTCCCTGGAGACGCGGATCAGAGCGCGTCTCAGCAGCTGGGAGAGCCGCCGGACGGCCTCGACGGAGAAGGGCCGGCCGCTCCCGTCCCCCTTCGCCTTTCGGAGTATTCTTCCGATGTCTTCATCGCTCCAAGGGTACTCCTCCAGATCCGGCAGCCTCGGGCACTTGGAAAAGATATCGGCGACCTCGGGGTCCTCCGGCAGCACCGTGTTCACCGTATCCCAGCTGTTATTCCGACTGTTCATGGAGCCCGAGTAGTACCACCAGTTGCCCCTGTGCTGAGAAGAGGTGAAGGCTTGGGAGTTGGACTTGGACGAGGAGAGGCTGAGGGACCTGCAGGAATCCCCTGCCCCATAACCAGAGTCCAGAGTCAGATCCTCCAGGGTCTTCAGAGTAGAGCTGTATATCCCAGCCATAGGAAAGTCGGGCGGGCCAAACGCGAGGCGCGCGAAAGGTGAGGCCGGAGCGGATCCCTCCTGCGCTCAGCGACCCGGAGCCGCCGGCCGAGCAGCGGCGTAGCGGGCGGGAGCTCCCTCGGCACGCCGGCTCCGCCGAGGGCCGGCTACCTCCATGCCGCGGGCCGGCTGCGCTCGGCCATCTTCCGTCCCAGAGCGGCCGGCGGCGGCGGACGGAGGGGCGGCGGCGGACCGGGCTGTTCGCGAGGCCCCGGAGCGGGCGCGAGGCGGGCTGTGCGCGAGCCGCTCGGCGGGACACTTGCGGCGGCTCCGACTCAACTTCTCCGCCGCGCCTCCGCCGGGCGCCCCGCACGGCCGCATGCAAACGAGCTGAGGGGAGAGGCACCAATCGGCGGCGCCGACGGGGATCGTCTCCGCCACTGGAAGCCGAGCTGGGCGGCTAGTATGCAAAGCGGGCGGGTGGGCGGGGCACGGAGGGGACGGGAGGACAGCCGGGCGCGCGGCTGCGGATCCGCGAGAGTGCAGCGCTGCTTTGCGCCGCTCTCGGCCGGGCGGCGCGTGCCTCCCCGGTGCCGCCAGCACAGCGCAGCCCCGGCCGAGCCGCGAGAGAAAGCCGCCTTTGTGGCGGTCGTCTTCCGCCTTCGCCAGCCCCTCTTCGACAGCCATCCGAAGCGGCTCCCGGTGTTTCCCCGCTTTCTCGGATCGAGGGTCGCGCACGCCCGGTTCGCACCCCCCCGCTCCTCCGCCGGGACCAGCGGCTGAATGGGGGATTGTGCGGGCTGCGGCATGCCGGGCTCTGAAAGGAGCCTTTGTGCGGCCGTTTACACAGCCCCGACCTTGAACCGCGCAGTGCGAGCGGCGTCCGGCAGCGCCCCCCAGCGCCTTCGGGTCGGCAGCCGCAGCGCGGGACGAGGGCGCCACCTGGCTGCAGCACGGCGCCACGTGCGCGGCTGCCCCACCTCGACCAGCGCTGCAGCTTCCCCCCACCGAGGATCGCGAGCCGGGCGGAACGCGATCCTTAACCTTCTTCCAGTCACTTGAAAATAAAGCACCTCAGCACTTTATTTGTGCTCCACGGGTGGTTCAGAAATATGATTTTTTTTCCCCTACATCTTTCTAGTACCTCAGTTATCAATTCAAACTTCTCCATTTTGTTGGACTTTTCAGGCCTGAGCGCTGTGTTTAAGAGCAAGACCAATAAAGACACCAGAGCTGGCCAAACACGTGGTAATAAGCACCTAAATGTAAGACGAGGCATTACTGATTCAAAGTAAGCTGTTGCAGGTCCTGTGCATTCAGTCAGTATGCTTGTTTTGCAAAACACTGCCTTCCCTCTTTCACATCCATATTTAATCCTGTATGTTAGGTACAGAATACTGCCAAGTTCTTCCCCTTAAATTTGCTTTGTTCCCACATAGTGCCCAGGCCCATCTGGACCACAGCTGCCGAAGTCCTCTTGTTCACTTCCACCCCCTTCATGCCCCCCTACGTGTCCCCTATGTCCTGAAAGCACCAGCACACCAGCACTATGCTTTAATTCCTTGCCTAACATATCAGATTGTACACATCCTCCTTTCCCCTCCGCCCCCATCTTCACGCTAAACCCTGTAGGAATAAAAATCAGACGGGGAGAACAATCTGTCATCTCTCACACTAAAAGGCCTTTGTGCTTTGTCCTGTGATGCCCATTCACAAAGCTTGCTCTAAATTTCTAAGGTTCTGCCTGCTTCCGCTGAGTCACACTATTACAAAATGAAACATGAATTGCTGAGAATTGCTACCTGGTTGACCAGCAGAAACTTTATTATTTAAAGAAAATGCAGCGGTGTGTTTATATACAGCTTTACATTTCTACATGTCACATCTACCATTCTCACTATCACGTCCCCTCTCCTCCTGTACAGTTTGTTATTCCTACAATACCAAGTAATTTAACACCACAAAAATCACCCAACTTAACAGCACTATCTGCTTTCTTAACTCCCTCAAGCAGTATTTCCTCGTGGTTAGAAGTTAAACTCCTTGCCATTTTTAGAATTACACAGGCAACGTTTTCTTACAGGACAATACACTGCCTGGTAAATCTTTCTCTCCCTTCAATGAAACGAGACCACCAACCTTCTCCCAAAGCAGACAAACCACACAGCAGAAACCCCTTGAGGGCAGAAGAGATATTCCTTACTGAAGATCTAAACCTGAAGGCAAACCATGTGATAAAAGCAAAACTTTCTGGGACATGGGAAGAAGGGAAAAGAGAAACGAAAATGAGACATATTTGTGTTTTTACCAGCACTTCCTAATTTCCCACAGGTTATTTATCCACAGAGGAACAAATTCATCGTGTTGCTGGTGTTCTCCAGTGTCTCTATCATAGAACAGCTAAATGAAGAATAGGGCGTGGAAAGAAGCAATCAAATTATTTCCTTCAAAATGTTTTCCTTTATGGAAGGAATTTGTTTGCTTTCAGACCAGACGTGTATTTGTAACTGAACTACAGACTACATTATGAAAACCAAGGCATGTTTCCAGAATGCAATTATTATTCCAGCTCACACAAAATTGCCAGCCCCCAAAAAATCAAAGCACTGATAACAAGTTGACATTTCTTGCTTTAAAAAGACAAAACAAGCATCATGCTGCCTTTATGGTTTTGACTGGAGCCATTAGGGATCACGTGTTTAAACACTGAGAGTCAACTTTTGCTTTGGAACGGAAGAGTTAAGAATGGAAAAGCTATTGAAAGACTTCCAGGATCAGAGGCTCCAAGTATGTAACAGCAGAAATCCCATCATAAACAAAATCTTCATGCTTTAGAAGCCCCATTTTCTTTCATTTAGAGGCCTCAGACCCAGGTGTTATTCCAAGCTCAAATGCGCTACAGATTATAAAAAAGTCTTAAGACTATAATTCAGAAGCACATCAAAATTAATTGGAATTAAAAAGCATCATCATTCTCTGACTTACAAATAGCAACTAGACAAATAACATCAAACCCACTTTTAAGGAAATAGAAAAAGCGAATGTAAAACCCCTACGAATTTAACTTGTACAAAAGACTCCAAATTAATACATTTAAGTGGCCAATAATTATATTAATATCACCTTCTGCAACCAGAAATTTTAACATATTCCTGGAACACAATATTCACACTTGCTGTAGTAAGCAACAAAAACATTCCTTACCAGCAAGTCCCACATGAGCTAACTTCAATCATTCTGAAGTAAAGAAGACTCAGTTAGTTCCATGAGAAAAAGTAAAAGCAACAGCAAAACATCCCCAGCACAGCAATCAGAAAAACTATTCGAACAGTGCAACCAAACCCCTAAATTAGTACATCCAAAGCACCTGGCAGAGGAGCTGTTTGAAGCCTTATTTTTGCACCTGTGATGGTTACCACTAGAACTTTTTTTTCTTTTTTTTTTTTAATTTGAGCAAGTGCTAATTCTGTTTTTAGTGCTGTAAGATTATACAACGTTTATCTGGTGTGTTTTCCACTGTATTGCAAAATCTCCGTACAGCAAAGGTCTTCATTTTCCTGTCTAACACAAATTGAGGGTCTGTTTCAGCAAATTACCAAATAGTGGTTGCTGATCTCACCAGCTAGCAAGTAATAATGGAGGCACCAACTGCACCCTCCCAAGGGGAGACTTCTTCCTGGTATGTAATGAGGTCAGTTTCTTCTACACTCATCTTGGTGCAGAATATATTTCTAAAGCTTATGGCATTAAAATTTCAGAACATGGTAGTTGATAATTTATAGGTAAATTTACCACATAGCAGTAATTACATTTTAAAAAGAGAGCGTAGAATCTCATGCCTTTCAAAATCCTCAGAAAATCATACTATCCCTGTGTAAACTCTTCAGGTACTTCAAACGCGCTGGAATTTTCTACAGAGAACGTACTGAAGAAATCTCCAGGCTTTTTAGTAATAAATAGAGATTTTACTTTCTCCCTAAGTTTTATCTGTGATTCAGCAGAGAATAAAACTATATTTTGCTATTAATAATTCCACAGAAAGTTTTCTGCTTATTTTTCTCTCCAGTTGGTCTAATAATGGAAGTTTGCTACTGTATGGGAGATGTTAAGTCCACTAAGAACCACTGATTGAGCACCTGGGGAAAGGACCAGTCAGCCCTGGGAGCACAGGTGAAGGCAATTCAGCTGCGTGACAGGAAGGGATGGAACCTGGCTGCACCTCTCTTAGACCTCATTTAAGGGCTGGCTGCCACTGGGGAAGGATCTCTAGTAGGAGATTCCCCCTTGGTGAAGCTTTCACTTGCAAGCCCAGTGTCTTCTGATACGGGTGAGTGATCTTTTTTTCTTTCCTTCCTTTATGGCACCTTTCTCTCATGGTGGCTTTTTTGTCATTGCATCTTTGTTGCAGTACCTTTCCCATTGTACTGATCTGTCTAATTGCTGCAACTGCCCTCACAGCTCTTGTCTCATGGAAATCCATAGAACTGTCAAAGCAGAACTTCCATTTTTTAATTTCTCTTCATTTTTTTTTTTTTTTTTTCCTGTAAGTTACCTTTGTCTAGGAATTAGTGCTAATTCATTTCTCTATCACTTGAAATGATAAGGTTAAGGAGCATTTAACTGATTAGACATACAAAGGTTTTTGGGGTCTGGGAATACGAGCGCTGAGGGAGCTAGCTGATGTCACTACAAGACCACTATTCAACATCTTTGGAAAGTCACAGATGTTGGGGGAAGATTCTTGAGGACTGGAAGGAAACAAATGTAATTTCTATCCCTAAAAAGGTAAGAAGGAGGATTGGAATAAAACACAGGCTAATCATTCCCATCTTTATCCTTGGAAACTGGGTACAACCAGCAGTCCTGGAAATAATTTGCAAATGCACTAGGAGGCAAAAATACTCTAGAATGGCTAGCATTGATTCATGAAAGGGAAACAGTGCCTGGCTAACCTGACAGCCTTCTATGAAGAAACCACTTTCATGGTGGATGAGAGAAGAGCAGATAATATCGTTGATCTTCATTTTACCAATTGTTCCATAACATCATCATGGGCAAACTGAAGAAGTATGGCTTAGATCAGTGGTCAGGGAGGT